AGGCCTCCTCCCGGCGCATGGGCACCGCGGTCTGCAGCAGCGAGTGCAGCCTCACGTAGGCCTGGGCGTGCAGCTGCGGGCACAAGGCAAGTGTGGGTGCTCTTCAAGGCTCCCGGGGCTCCCCGTGGCCGTCGCGCCCTCCCCACACCCACCAGTGCTCACCTGTGGGTCCTCCAACAGGATGTAGCCCAGCACGAGGTGCAGGCCAATCTGTGCCATCTCTCGGAGATCTGCCGTGCCGTTGGCCAGGTGGGACCAGGCGCCCAGGCGGTCCAGCAGGTTGCACACACCTTCAAAGAGCTGCCACAAACACCCAGCAGCCATCACCCGTGGGGACGGAGCAAGGTCAGGGTGGGGCAGGGGGCCAGGTGGGGCTCACAGCCAGGCCTATGCTCAGACCCGTGCGGACCCACCCAGGACTGCACACATCCACCCTCCTCACCCGGGACTGCACACGTCCACCCCCCTCACCCAGGACTGCACGCGTCCACCGCCCCCCCCACACACACACCTTCTCACTCCACAGCTCCTGGTTGCCATGGCCCTCTGAGCACAGGAAGTCCTGCAGCAGGCGCAGCAGCCAGAGCACCTGCCGCGTGAGGCTGGCCAGGCCCCCGGCCGGGGCCTCTTTGATGTCGCTCAGGGCTGACTCCAGCATCATCTCCAGGAGGCTGGGGAGGGCGAGGGGCTCAGGTGTCTGCCTGCTGCCTGCCTCCCCGCCTCCTGCCCTTCCTGCAGGCCTCCGACGGCCCGGGGCACCCCTTACCTGCGCTTGATGCAGTCTGGGGGGCGCACCAGTGTGGCTGAGGCCCCCAGCTGGGTGAGCACCGAGAAGACCTGGCCACGTTCCCGCCAGGCGGCCTCGTCACTGTCCTCCACGCCCCGCCACGTCACCAGGAACAGCATGTTGGTGAGCAGGTTGCACAGCTCCTCCTCAGGGGTTTGCTGTGGGCCCAGATGGGTGGTGCAAGGTGTGGGCCGGGGACAGCGGGGGTCAGGCTGGCCTCATGCTATCCCAGTCAGCACCCCTTGCCCACCACTCGTAGGGACACCGGAGCAGAGCATTCAGCCAATAGATGGCCTGGCTCTGAGGCCGGGAAGAATGGTGCCAAGGCCTCAGCCACTGCCTGGATTCCTGGGAGAATCCCGGGGTTTCAGACAGGCTTAGGCGGTTCACAAAACTAGATTTCAGTCCTCACAGGCCTCAAGAACTGCCCTGGAGCCCAGCTCAGTGGTTGAGCATCAACCTATGAACCAGCAGGTCACAGTTCAATTCCTGGTCAGGACACAGGAGGCAGCCGATCCATGATTCTCCCATCATTGATGTTTCTCTCTCTCCCTCTCCCTCTCCCTTCCTCTCTGAAATCAATAAAGATACATTAAAAAAAAAAAAAAAACTCCCGGAATGCTCTGGAGGATGCCGTAGAATAAGCAGAGGCCGAACCCCAGGCCCAGAAGCACCAGGCAGGACCCATAGGGCTGTCCACGGACCCTGTAAAGCCCTGCCCTATGCTGGGACCTCACTGGCAGCTGCAGCCCTGATGTTAGGCAGGGCT